TATTTTTTTTTAAGAAAAGCTTGAGCACGCCAGTACTGTTTTATATGTTTGATATTAATTGCTCGATTAATTAAAAATAACATTTTTTTGCCTCGTGAATTTTTTGTCTACTTGCTTACTTAAAAAAAAAATAACATTCCGCCGCCGCTGTTGGAAAAATAAATTTAATTTCATTAATAAAATGAAATAATAAAAAAACGACAAAAACATTGCATTTTTAATTATTCAATCTAAAAATGATAACAAATTTACAAAAGAGTAGTGCAGTGCTCAAATCTTTCTACAAAATTATTTAATTTTCTTCTGAAATTGTTGAATTAAATATAATTACATCAAATCAAACTCCTTACTTATTACAAAAAGCGTGACAAGTTTCAACAAAAACGGCAAAGCAATTTTTGAGATATTTGAAAAAAAATGTATTTTATATTAATTTTAACATCACGTAACTCGAAAACGAAGTTCTAAAACGTTCATATGAAGTTTTCTTTATAATTTTGCGAGACTATTAAATTTTCCCGATTAAAATCTGAGATTGTATGTAGATACATATATTTCATGTCGCCAACATATTTAAAAAATTTAAATTCGCAAAATAAATTCAAGCTTGAATTAAAAAAAAATTCTTCAACCGTGCGCCTTTTACTCGACTGATGAGTATTTTAATCATTAATGTTATGTAAAATGTTATTTTTGTTGATGTGTTCTATGTTAGGAATTGTACATATAATATACAACTTCTTGATCTTTGGAAAAAAATTAACAAACAAACAATTTATTAATGATAATTCTATTTTGCTGAGATAACTATTCTGTTTATTAAAGAAAAGAAAGTTAACTATATCAAGTAGATTGAAATATGTGAGGTAAGTAGAATAGCTTACTGGATTTAGATAAAACAGGCTACTTATCATTATTAATTAGTGTCAGATATATCGTTTTATTTGTGGGAGTATGAACAATTTACTCGGGAAACTTCTAATGCTGGGGCCACAATTACGTCTAATGCCGGTAATTATCGCACTATCTTGCATTAAACGTAGGTGTAACCACGACCTAGCGCCCTAATATATCATCGTCATTATTAATGGCGTTAGACGTTAGGCGATAATGCTGGGTCACACTAACGCCTAATGCCGTTAATTATCGCACTATATAGTATTAAACGTAGGTGTAACCACGACTTAGCGCCCTAATTTATCATCGTCATTATTAATGGCGTTAAACGTTAGGCGATAATGCTGAGTCACACTAACGAATAATGCCGTTAATTATCGTACTATATACATAGCATTAAACGTAGGTGTAACCACGACTTAGCGCCCTAATCTATCATCGTAATTATTAATGGCGTTAGACGTTAGGCGATAATGCTGGGTCACACTAACGCCTAATGCCGTTAATTATCGCACTATATAGCATTAAACGTAGGTGTAACCACGACTTAGCGCCCTAATTTATCATCGTCATTATTAATGGCGTTAGACGTT